TATTCTATTGATGAATCACCAATCACAGGTATCATACTGCTAGTACGATACCTGTGAATCGCCAAGTATGAGTTAAACCTGATCAAACACTGATCCATTCTATGTTACTCTTCGGAACGTGCTCGCTCTCTCTCGCTGTGTGTGTCTGTCTGTCTGTCTGTGTCTGTGTCAACTTGCGAGGAGTAATACTATTATAGCTACTAATCAAGAAAGGTATCTTGATGCCGATCAGTGGCTCTTTATCCAAGGAACTGTATTTATTCCCCATCTTTCCTGCACCTGATAATTTAGCTTCCCATTCCCCAGGCTTTGTTTGACTCTAAAGTCTTCCTCTCATTAAAATAATAATGTCGAAGTGCTGCTAATTATATTGCAAAATGGAGGCACAGGGATAGACCAGCCATTAAGGACAATCTTGGGGCCAATCATACAGACCAACCACTGAGGCCGACAATTCAGACCAACTACTGAGGCCGACAATTCAGACCAACTACTGAAGCCAGCCATATAGACCAATCACTGCACTTAGTGTCGTGGATTAACACAGAGGTAAAAACCTCACGTCTTGTTGATGTTGTCTGCCTGGGAGCTGCTGAAGCAACAGGTTGATGATGCCACAGTATAGTGTGCAGTGTGTGGTGTGTATTGTGTCTGGTGGTGGTGGTATTTTGTGGTGGTGGTAGTTTGTGGTGGTGGTATTTTGTGGTGGTGGTATTTTGTGGTGGTGGTATTTTGTGGTGGTGGTATTTTGTGGTGGAGGTATTTGTTGTGGTGTGGTATTTTGTGGTGGAGGTATTTTGTGGTGGAGGTATTTTGTGGTGGAGGTATTTTGTGGTGGTGGTATTTTGTGGTGGTGGTATTTTGTGGTGGTGGTATTTTGTGGTGGTGGTATTTTGTGGTGGTGGTATTTTGTGGTGGTGGTATTTTGTGGTGGTGGTATTTGGTGGTGCTGGTATTTGGTGGTGGTGGTATTTTGTGGTGGTGGTATTTTGTGGTGCTGGTGCTGGTGGAATTTGGTGATGGTGATCAATGTCTAGTAGTGATCCATTGCTTTAGCATGGTGATACATAAACTCCGCATAGTTTCAACGGATTCAGAAGAAGAAAGATGAGAAGTTAGTGAAGGCTTCATTCTAATGTCCAGAGAGAGAGAGAGAGAGAGAGAGAGAGAGAGAGAGAGAGAGAGAGAGAGAGAGAGAGAGAGAGAGAGAGAGAGAGAGAGAGAGAGAGAGATCCACTTCGAGGACAGCGTGAAACAAGCTTTTATGCCACAAGACGGGCAGAAAGCAGCAACTTCACTCCGGCTGTACCCTTCTCCAGAACATCACTCCATCTGAGATCATACATACCCAGGATGACTCGAGTATGGAACACATTCGTACAGCATAATGATGTCAACGAGATAAAGTCAGTTGATCAAATGAAAATGCTGGCCCACAGATGGCTCCAACTTCATCCTGTTCCCTACTTGTATGTCTCATAACAATAAAAATGCTTTCAAATGAGCTGATGTAGGTAACAGCTCTTAGCTTGCCAATAAAGTTAGGAATCCTTAACCTGTAAATAGCTTGTCAATAAAGCTAGGGATCCTTAACCTTGTCAAACCCTGTGTGAAAAAGAGAGAGAGAGAGAGAGAGAGAGAGAGAGAGAGAGAGAGAGAGAGAGAGAGAGAGAGAGAGAGAGAGAGAGAGAGAGAGAGAGAGAGAGAGAGACAGAGAGAGAGAGAGAGAGCATCACTGAACAGGAAACCAAAGTGATCGGGTTATTTGCTTGATGTATTTTTTTTTTTTTTTTTTTTTTTTTTGTCGCTGGAAGGAATCTCTGTACCAGACAACACACTAATTGTGTAATCTGCGTTAACAAACTTCTAAAGGAAAGAAATATTCACACTACATTTTTTTTAATCCCAGCATGTTCTTCAAGGTACTTGTACAATTTTTGTTTTTGCTCGGTTTTTAGGAACGAGTGAGTTAGTTCTAGCATCAGTGTTGGTGTCTATCCGCCGTGATAGAAGCGAATACTTCATTTTCTCTGTTCTCCAGGTAAGTAGTTATTATTACAATCAAAAAGAAGCGCTAAGCCACAAGGGCTATACAGTCCAGTAAGTAGCACTAGGAATCGTGTCTGTGTCGTACCTAGCAGACGCAGGACGGAGCCTCTTCAACATCTTGTGCTGAGTGACACACACGAACTTAGCGCCTCGTATGATCTATTCTTTCTAAAACACCCGGTTACTGAACGTCTCTATTATTATTAGTAGTAGTAGCAGTAATAGTAGTAGTACTATTGCTAGTACTGGAAGCATTTTTATTATTATAATGTGAAACTCGGCACCGAGTGGATTCTTAAACCTGATCCTTCAAGGGAGAACCGGCTACTTTTTTGTACGTCCTTGTTTCATAAAATGAATAATTTAACATTGAAAATTGTGGAGGCTCGACCCTCCTTCCAAGGAACTGAGCAGTGTTTCTCTCTGAAGAGAGGGAGGCTTTGGTAGTTGGTGGTGTGTGAGGTTGGTTGGAGCATTTGCTTTTAATCAGTGGGAGCGCTAATCACACATGGGGTCATACAACGCCTGGGAAAAGGGGAGGCAGTCAGGTTCTAGCAAAATAAGAGAGAGAGGTTGTCCTCTTCCTAGGATCAAGTGCTCCTCACCGGCCTCAAGGCAGCTCTCTGGAAGGGCAGGTTGGTGAAGGAGTGATGCTGGAGGCTTATTTAACAGTACATAAGTCTCATTTAACAGTACATAAGTAATGAAGCAACGGATTAATAACCAGCTGGCTTCAATCCCATGTCAAGTGACACGATCATCTTTGGTAATGTAACAGCATCCCACGTCAAGAAACGGAACCTATCACGCCCAGAAACAGCATCCACCACGTCAAAAATCTACCACGTCAAGAAACAGTATCCAGCACGCAGCATTCCAGGTCAAGAATCAGTAGCACCATAAAACGTCACGTACTGGTATTGCAAGCCAAATAACATCTTAGTTCACGTTATAGTTCCTCAGATCAAGTAGCAACAGCATCCCAGACCAAATAACAGCGAGAGCTGCTTAGGTTCTCACCCACACAACCACCCATGTCCATCCCCCACAACATCGCCCACTCTACCACCTACGCCACGACCTCTCACACCACTTCCCACACCATTCCATATTCCGAGAAGTCACAATCATAACGTACAAACTGATAACAAAGGCTCAATGGCTATTGCAGACTTGTTCTGATAATAATGTTTCTGTAGCTATTCAACACCCGAGCATACTGAAGCGGGCTGCCATGGTAGTTGTTAGGAGGTAATGTGCCCAGCAACGCAGCTCTAGTCACCAATAACGAGTCCACGATACAAAGTTCACTCGAGAATTCAAGTGAAATGTTCGCGGAACCACACCATTCAAATTTCAGCTAATAGAAGTTAGGGTTTAGAAATGGAAGGTTGTTGAGGACTCGAGTGTCAACTTTTGTCACCAGTAGCGTTGTTGAAATGCTGTATTATAATGATATTGCCAACTGCTGCGCTGCAATAGTGCTCGCTTGTGCAGTGTGTATGCAGAGTAATTGAGGGGAATTTTCATGTGCCTAAGTGTCTTTTAAACAAGGTCAGAGGAGGCGAGTGTGTGAGTGTATGTGCGAGTGTGTGAGAGAGGGTATGCTCATAATGACCCTCTAGTGCTTCTCGGGTGGTATTAGGCGCTAAGTGCTCTTCAGATGTGAAAGGAGTTGGAAAACTCTTGTTCTCTCCTCCCGAGTGCACTTGTTCAAACGTATATTTTGTACATACGAAGGGTATTAGTGGAAGTTTGTGTTAAATATATATACAATGCTGTGACGCTGCTCTCTCTGAGGGAAGTGATATGTATAAGCAGGTTCGCCATGGTTGGTACACACTAATCGGCAGGACAACCAAGAATATTCCTTTTCATGAGCGAGTGAGTGGGTGTGGTGTGAGAGTTTGGTGGGTGAGGGGTGGTAGTGGCTGGGTGTGCGTCTGCGTGAAGGAATTACCTGCTTCATACCTCTAAGTAGTGATGTACGAACCACAGAAAGAATTTTATCAAAAGGCCGGCAATGAATTCTGTTTGAGGGAAGGTTGGTAATGGTGGTGATGGTGGTGATGTGGTGATGGTGGTGGTGATGGTGGTGATGGTATGAGGTGTTTTACCGTGAAGAAGAGTGGGCAGTGAATGGGGGGTGTGGGATAATTGATATATATTGCAGCATGGGCAAATATTGCCAGGAAAGAACAATACCATTACATGACAACTGAGACAAAGTCTATGGTAATCACGACGAGTGTGCAGGGGTGAGGGGCGAGCTTCGGTAGGATGGTTTGTTACTCAGGGTGAGGGCGAGTCTTTTTTGGGTCAGGGACCAAGAAGCCTCTTTTCTAAGTATTGGCAAGTGTTCACTTGGGTGTGTACACACACGTGTACACCTGCCAAAGGAAATTGCATACATGGAGGAGGTGCTAAACTTGTAGGAGTCGTTCCAGGGAAAGGGGAGATCAGATTCAATCCCGTGGATCAGGAGCTTCTTCCTTGAAGGGAAGAAGAGCATTGTACCAGAGATGAGGATGATACAGTAGAACTTATTTAATAAATGGGAGATAGGAGCTTAACTTCCAGTTACCGTCCACTCAACCTGATCTTGATACTTACACAAGTTGACAGAATCGACGATAGCACTTTGCAGTTCTGTAAATAATTTTCATCGGTGTTTTTGATACAGTTTCAACTCTAGTGAGGAAAGTTTAGACATCGTTTCGGTTGCTCGCGGGACCATTATCAGTGCAAATGGTGCAGAAACAAAGATGGTTAAGTAGCAAACTCACCAGGTTTTACTGAATTATACTCTTTATAACCCACGCAAATATTATTGTAGAATTTAGTATGTAATAAACATGCACATGTAAACTACATAATAATTAAAATTAACATATTACATAAAAATATTACTAATTTCTTTTACTACTAAACCCGTATGGGGAATACTGCACCTTAGGAACAGGAACTTATCAGGGTTGATCCGGAGGGAGCGAAACCGGTAAATTCCACGCTTGGACGAAGGGGCTTCAACGAGCATTCAACGAAACCCCTTTAAAAGGGCTTGGCTTGTCAGACTCTAGTACGAGAACCGCAAACTGCTACCACGCGTCTATGTTCTTATATGGTAAGAGTCAATTGTTCAGATCATAGTAAGTTCATCTATACAGACCACTGTTCATATGTCATTAAGTATGCAATTAATACACTCAATCTTAATATAAACGTTCATTACAGTCATCAACACCGCAAGTACACTCAAGCTTCATTCTATAGTGTATGCACTACTACAAAGATGTGTACCTCCCTCCACGGATGACTTGGCGACACTGGCTGCAAGGCAGCTGGACGAGGTGTCAAGCCTGTCGACTACACGACGGTCATTAAGGCTGCTGTTTCACGTGCATACATCACCAGTCGAGAATATTTTAATGCCTGAAATATGGATTAGATTCTCACTGCGTATATATACACTGAGAGCTACCCACTTGACGATTAATCTATTCATAAACACATATCTAGCTGAATTTATGCTGTGATATATACCTTTCGGGGTATATACACTGAGATATACACCCCTCTGTGTATATGCACTGAGATACACACTCTTCTGTGTATATTCACTGAGACACACACTACACAGTGTGTATCTCAGTGCTTTAAATTTACAATTTACGTCTGACAGGTGACTGACATGCCACGTCACATGTTTACGACCCATTACGCTCTGCCAAGGTCGGCTTGGATTCGCTGACACCAGTACTCCGGTCGTTTCCTTTCCGATTAAACTTAATGACGAAAACGAAAAACCCTTTGATCGTATTTCCCAAACAGATTCATAAATTTATATTACGAGAATCTGTCGCTACGTTCATTTGCGAAATATCAACAGGAGAGTTGTTACTGAAGTGATACAAGGGAAGGAGGAAGTTCACTCACGGCATCGGGAAATTTTTGCAGCCACCATGACTTACTAAATCATAATAAGACGATTGCGAGCGAATCACACAACGGCCGGGTATCGAATATTTGGCCTTTAAATTTTAGAACTCTCTGTCATGGATATAATTCCTATCCCTTCTGTGAATTATATTTTTTGTTGCCACGACTGGTTAAGAAGCTGAACCGACATTCTGTTGAAAGAATTATATTGCGGGATAAATTTTTTTACAATTCACAGATGAATGAAAGATATAAATATAGATCATATAAATACCGCGTGTTGCGTACCGTGTATCACAAGACAAAATTTGAAACGAAATGAAATCGAACTGGATTAGCTTTGCATAAGAAAGCGTTGGTTGTGAGGTAGATGTGTTGGACAATTGCCCTTACATTGTTATTTAAGCTGGTAATTTGGAAGGTTTTACATTTCATTTGGGAAAGAAGACGAGAGTAAATGGATGGGTGGCAACTGGATTTGCCAAGCATGGGTATAAAAAAAAAGCCTCGTGTCGCAAACGTCCTCTAGTTATTATATAGGATAGTTGACCACGTTGATTACAGTGAAGGACAGAATCAGCTGTTGGTATAAAATCTTTCCTCTGTCGGTGAGTACCTTCACGCTGGCGAAGAGCTCTAGATCTAAGGGATCTGAACTGCTCACACACTTCCTCGGATCAGTCTTCATTATCCCCACCCCTTCTATTCTCCAAGCACTGTATGACCCTTACTGGCTTAGCGCTTTCCTATAAGATAATAATAATAATAATAATAATAATAATAATAATAATAATAATAATAATAATAATAATAATAATAATAATAATAATATAAAACCTTGTCACTAGGGTTCCATTTCATTAAGTGTGCTGATATCCAAGATGTAACTTCAGCAGCAGACTGAGCCGATAACATTACAGGGAGACCAGTACCACTCAAGATGAAGTGATAACACTTAAGATGTCCTTTATAACATCTCTGGCTGTGTGATAACATTAAAGGCGTCCTTGATAACATTGCTGACGGCAGTGTGCTAACATTCAGGACTCCTTGATAACATTACCAAGATGGGCTCCAGGCGTGGCGATGGCAAGTCTTGTTTCGCAATTACTGCCTTCCTCTTTCCAGTCTAACTTTGTTGATGTTAGGTAAAGAAGATCACACAACACACACACACATACACACACACACACACACACACACACACACACACACACACACACACACACACACACACACACACACACACAAGGAAATCTGTAAGGAGTTGAACAGAGGATTTATAGAGGTAGTCTCAGTGGATATAGGGGCAACACCATAGAGTCAAAGAGAAAGGGCACACCAACACTATACGTACTAAAGGGAAGTGGTTGAAAAAACTTTTCAGTTAGCTGGATACATCAAAGGTAATAGGACCAGACAAAGTGTCAACATTAAGTCTGTGAAAGAAGCAAAAGCAATGCCTGAACCACTAACTAAAATCAACAAATCATTGGATAGGGGATAATTGCCAGAGATCTGGAAGAGAGTGAATGTTATCTCCCGATATTCAGGAAGCCACGCAGTAAGCATCAAACAAGAGTGTCACTAACATGCATGCTATTTAAGGCAATGAGGAAGGAGAGTGGCGGCGCACATATACGCCAAAATAACAGAATTGAGGCAGGAGAGAGAGGGATGGTGTTTGCATATTCTGCATAGTCTATTGTAATGCCTTGCATTACAATAGACTATGCAGAATAACTTGAGACGGAGACAGGAATAACAGGGAATGTGCTACAAGTGGATTCAAGAGTACCTTATGGGAAGAAGATAAGTGATTGTCCGAGAAGTCAGACTGGGAAAGTGTAACAAGTGCGGCTCGGCAAGGATTAGAATTAAAACTATTTCTAGATGATAGGAACTGCACCCCTGTAGGGTGAAGAGGGAATCTGGGGTGACGGAGGCGTGGCGTTGGGTAATAGGAGTTGTCGAGGGAAAACTTAGACTAGTGTTGGGTGGGTTGGGGGGGGGTGAGTTGTGGACGTGGGATAAAAGCTGACTTTTGTGGCTGTGGAATAAACCATGAAACACGTCAAGCTTATATTGGCTGGAAATGCAGTCCCAGATGCATTAGAGAAAGAAAGAGAAAGAGAGAGAGAGAGAGAGAGAGAGAGAGAGAGAGAGAGAGAGAGAGAGAGAGAGAGAGAGAGAGAGAGAGAGAGAGAGAGAGAGAGGCGAGGTAATTTTAGCATGTTAAGGTTCAGTGAAGAGTGGCAGCACAATTTGTGTAATTGCTTCAGTTAGTAATTAGCGTAGGGGCAGATGTGGGGAGCGTTGGCTCTTGTGAGAGATAGTGCTACAGAAATGGCCACAGCTCAAGTGCTAGCGAGAAATACCGTAGAAATGACCTCAGCTCTAGTGAGAGACGGTACCGAAGAAACAGCCTCATGTCACTTTCTAGCAATGAAATGAAAGCAACTTCGTAGTAGTTATCCCAGTTATCTTCACCGTCCTTCAAAAACCCAGGGTCATAACTCCCCTTGTCCAACATCAATTTTGTCGGAACACAAAAAAGTTCTTTTGCTGTTGTTGATGTTGTTGATGTTGTTGATGTTGCTGTTGGTGGTGTTGGTGGCATTTGGTTTGATAATAGTGTTATATAATTATAAAAATTGTATGCAATTCCAAAAGACAGATGTGTAAGACACATGTGCAGCAGTTGGATATATTGATAGTTGAAACGTTTCGCCTCTGCAGTAGATTTAAGAAGGATCTGATTAACACGGGTCAGTAGGTCTGCTGCGATGTGTTCCTAAGGTCTTGCCTTCCTGCTCCTGCTAGTGGACTCCGCCTCATGCGACGTCTTTGATACTTTCCACGTCTCACCTTTGGCAGTATATCAGGCTCCGGTCTCATGTTTCAGCTTTACATTGTTCCTGGCTATGGAACTGAACGCTTCTCCAGGTCAAGGGATTAACCGCCTCAAACACTATTTCGTGCAGGATGGGATGATCACATCATCATTACCTCTCCATCACTAATGCTGTCTCCCTATTTATTATTCTCTGTGATTGCCTGTAGAAGCCTGTGTAGGTGAAACGTTTCAGCAATTGGTGTTGTTGGTGACAGCGGTATTACCAGAATAATAGTAGTAATGATGGTGATAGTGGTGTTGGTGTTGTCTATTGTGTTGATGGGGAATGGTAGTATTGTTGTTATTAGTGTTAGTTGTGTTGCTGGTGTTTGGATAATTATGATGATTGTCTCACGGGAACATCGCAGCAACTTCGGGCTCATCACGCCCCGTATGTGCGGGTCAGGAGGGTCGAACACTCATCAGATGCTTAGTCAAGCATGTTTCAAGTTTTCTTTTCCCCTAAATTAATTGGGTTTGCCCGGACTCTGGTGCAGCATCCCCTGTCGCTTCTCATCTGCCGCGAGATATCTTGGAATTATTTCCTTTAATTGTTTCCTTTACTCCTCTCAATTATTTCTCTTCCTATCCTTGCTCACTTCTTCTTTCCTTTGCCTATCACTCCTTCCCCTACCACTCTCTTTCTCTCCCTCCCTACTCCTCCATATTCCCACTTTTTCGTCTCCCTTCCACTCTTCATCACTTCCCCACTCTTTCTCTCTTCTTTTTACATCCTCGGGAACTATGTCAGTCAATGTTGTGCTGAAAAAGTTTTAGAAACTCTTATGAAGTAAAGTTTCATACCGCAGTCATGACGGTATGAGGTTTCAAACCGAGGTTATGAAGTTATAAGGCCTTATACCGTCATGAGGACTCATACCACAGTCATGAAGGTATGAGCACATCATCTTCCACTTCCTGCTGCTATTAAATAACAGTAAATAGGTATCTGGCTGTTTATCGACTGTTGTTGGTAGTATCTTCGATCATTAACCAATAATAATAATAATAATAATAATAATAATAATATTATAATAATAATAATAATAATAATAATAATAATAATAATAATAATAATTAAGAATAAGAATAAAATAATAATATTATTATTATTATTATTATTATTATTATTATTATAATAATAATAATAATATTATTATT